TTTTGAATAACTTTTGATAGAAACATGATAGAAAGCTGTGGTTTTCACCGTTGAAAAGAGCAGATAGAAACGCATCAAACTATATAAGACAATGGCTTTTAACTTCGACTTTTGGACCCTTTTGCAATAGTTGAACAAAGAAATGCCTTAAAAATAGGTCTGATTTTTCCAGGAAAAAACTGAGTATTTTTTACAAAAATTGCTGGCAAAGTGGTGTAGAATTGTCGATTATAATACCGAGAACTCCCAAAACAGTGAAAATTTAAATCAAGTCTTATATATACTTTTGTAGCTCGTCAGCTGACGATTCTAACCGACTCGTCAAAGTTTAAGATTTGTTCTATCTTCATAGAGCAACAGTCTACTCTTCCAAGATGACCATATTTCACTATTTATTTATGAAATAAATCTCAACAATTTTATATGAATCGATGCGCTGGATCAGCCTTTTTCCAACAGTGAAAACCGCAGCTATCTATTGTGGGTTTCTATCAAAAGTTATTCAAAAAATAGCCACTCGCCTTTTTTTTGAAATGAGCATTAGTTCAAAGCAGTTTCTCATTTCGATATGTTTTCTCATATAGTTCTAAATTGAAGAGTGATAAAACATTATTGAATGATTAATAAAAAGAAATAGCATTCTTTCATTTAAATGAAACTGTTTTCTGTTTTTTAGATAAGATCGTTTTAAGATAGACATTAAATACCAATCAAATTTCTTTCTCAATTAAGATTTTTACTTCTGTTAGATATACAATATATTTGAATTAAGATTTAAGAAATGATACAACTAATTTGACGACATTGATACTAATTATTTTAATGTCCACAAAAGATCACTACATTTAATTGATGATAATGTTTCAACATCTATCTCAAGTGTCTTGATTTTGAAAATAGACAGACGTTGATACAGTCGAGTAATATATAGGATAGTCCTGATGTTTTATTTTTATATCAATTATCAATATTATTAAAGCATAAAATGTCGAGTAATCATAAGTTTTTTTTTAATACAAAAAATAAGTTAGAAGTAAAGTAGACATTTTATCATTTAATTATGAATAAGCTCAAGATCAAAGTCATCACTATCATCGCTAAGAATCTTATTTAATAAATAAAGACATTGTGTTTTTTTAAAACAATCTTTAAAATAAAAAAAGTTCAGCTATAGCTTATATGAGAAAATGTTGTTGTTGTTGTTGTTTTATAGCTAGAATAATGTTTTTTTTTGAGAACATCTCGAATATTTTATTGCTGATATATAATTATTCTTGCCTGTTTCGTATATTATTAACGAGCGAATGCATTCAAATACAACTCATAATAATCATGAAAGGATTTTTGAGTGGATACATATAAATCTTCATCAGATTACTCTTTTATCTGTCACGTTCAATGAAAGTATCAAAGAGAAAATTAATTTGCAGAAGATAAAATATTATTTCCATTCAAATGAGAAGAAAAAAAAATCAGAAAAGTTTGAAGAATGTGTCATTATGAAAACAATGCTCATAAAAAATGTAACTTACATCAATAAATTTTATTTAAGAAATAGAATCAGTTACAAATAACAGTAAGATAGAAAAAATCTTCGCTTCAATTGGTTCGAGCAGGCTGTGATTTTAATAAATCGCAAAGATTTGTTAACAGCCTTCGTTTATTCATACCTAAATATCTATAAAAAGTTGGATATTATAGTTCATAATACA